TTTCTTGTTTGTTTTTCGCAAAAATAAAAATATCATCTACATAGCGGAATTTTCAAGACGAATTTTCTGTTGGAAATATCATAAAGAAATATAAAACAGCAGACGACCTTAACCAGAAAATTAAATTAATTATCTATTACAAAACATTTAGAACAGTATCCTTATCATTAAAAATAACACAAACCGCAAAATCAAAAATACAAAGAACCAACAATATTTATGAGTTCAAATGTGCCTTAAGGAACTGTGTTCCTGAACAAACCAAACTCATAAATAATTGCATCGGTTATATTACTACTACTACTACTACTGCATGCCTATCTAGACGACTCACACATACACCTACGCGACCATAGCTCAATTAGGACTCATTTAACACACACGAAAACCCACCAAAATCCATCTGAAATATACCAATAGAAAATACAAGTATAATAGACTCATCTACATGTATAAAATGATTAAATATAATGGAAGCTGTAACAATAAAAAAAGGAAAAGCCAACACTCAATAACATTATTTACGAACACGGTTACAAGATGCTGACCGTGTTTGGAAAATAAAGCATTCCTATAACTTCAGACACATATATAAAATATCCATACATCCAGTTAAAAATGAAAAATAAAAATCGCCCTTGATAATGGCTAAAAGAATAGCCATACGTGCTCGAATATTCAGAAATTTTGGACAGTTTTTACACATTTTGTGTCAAGAAAAGAAAGCACTTGTACGAACACAAGAAAAATTAAATAAAAAAAATTAATCAAAGTTGCTTGTCAGACGTCTCTCAGGAAACTTGTATATATATGTGTGTGTGTGTGTGTGTGCATGTATGTGTGTGTAAAATTTTAGATATAACTAAACATATTCGTAAAAGACAATATATATATATATATAATTTCAGATATAACAAAAAATATAACTGCAGAAGGACAATATAATTAAAATTTCAGATATAAAGAAAAATATAACTGTAAATAGACAATATACATATTATGTTATATAATTTTCCAAATAAATAATTATATATATATATATACATATATATATATATATATGTTAACCAAAGGATGTATATATATATATATATATATATATATATATATATATATATATATTAACGAAACGGTGTAAATTCGAATCAGTACCTGATGATTGCATAGCGCATGAAATTCCGAGTTGCACTGTGGCCGTTTCGCATTATCAATATATAGTTAATAGCTCTGTTACTTAGCATTGATCGTTGTTTTTCACATACGCAAGATATATATATATATATATATATATATATATATATATATATATGAATACTAACACGTACATTTATTTATATTCTTCCATTTGACTACACGCACACAAATACATATGTATATATACACGCACACACACACACATATGTGTGTGTGTGTGTGTGTGTGTGTGTCAAATTTCATAAAAGTTTTAATTTGATCTAGCTAAGAGTCTCGTTCTATACACAGAGTGTCCGTAGAATCTGGACACAGGCAAAAATGAATATTTTGAAGAAATTAAATTTTCCACAAGATTTTGTTGAATTGGAATATTAACAAATAACATCTTAAAAATGATTTTCCATCATTTGTGATGCAAAAGATGACGCGCTTTGCAATAATCACGTGAACTCGATTGCAATAAATCCACATTGCCGTCAATTTTAACGCATTCACTCTTTATGCGTCCACTCAAGTGTGTTGCATCTGTGATTTTCATTGATTACACCTTCTCCTTTAGCATACCCCAGAAAAAAAAGTCAGTTGTTTCGACAAAATCAAGTTTAAACTGTAGCAGTTGTTTATTGCTATGTGTCCAGCCTTTAAGGATAACCTGTATAATGACAGGATAAAAACAAATAGAAAACTCTTATAAATATCTTTTTTATAATAAATAATCATATTTTGCTTTTATTAAAATTTCCCCAGAAAATGAAATATGAAGGAGAATTGAAAATTTGGACATTTTTCTTTTTCTGTTGATCTATATCTGATCCCTATATATATATATATATATATATATATATATATATATATATATATATATATATATATGCTTCGTGCAGATATAAGCGTTTGTGAGAAATCATGGGAAATTTGTAGTTTAAACAGACGCTTCCTTTGTAGCTAAATGGTATAGCACGTCAGGCTATATAAAAGTTCTGTGTATGATACAGGTTCGATTCCTATCGGAGGACGCATATTCGCTAGTAAATTTCTCGGATATCCATGCTGGTTAATAGTTTATAGTATTTTACTTAAATATTTGTATCTGTAAAAATAACATGTAAACGTATCAAAATATTGTTGAGGGGTCCACCCCTTTTTATACAAATGAACTCACCTAGTATATACATATACTACTGCAAGAGCTAGACGAGAGTAAGAGAGAGAGAGTGAGACCGAGGAGTCAAGTCCAGAGTGACAGAGTAAAAGGTTGTAGGTAACCGGAAGAGTGAGGGTGAAGTAACAGCGTTGTAGGAGTCAC